ATGGTACTTAGGTCAGACAAAAGACTCACATGAAAGGAAATTAGTTCCTAACAATCTCTTTCCTCCTGAAAGAAACTCTAAGCATCCACCTGGACCCTCACCTCTACCTGCTGCTCCAGTCCAGCTCCAACAAATCTGGGACCAGGGATGCTGGTCAAAAACAGAACATCTAGGTCAATTTGGACTTGTAATAAATAATGAATCATGCTTTATTCTATGTATGTCCCAAATACCTCTTTCTCAAGAAAAACCTGGACCCCTCTGGATAAATATTTCAAGGGACATTCTTATACTAAAAACATAGATAGATTTAATTGGCATCCTGTATTTTATCTGTCAACTTTGAGAACCACGAAACAGGGGTCTCAGTCTGCCAAGCCTACGTGGTCTCCATGTTGGGAAAGGGAAGCTTGAAGCCACCTAGGGCTGAGCCAGTCCGAATCTTTCTGTCTCTACCCTCAGCTCAGAGCAAAGGAGGAAACAGGTCTCCCTCCTTGTTGCTTAGACACCAACTCTGTCTGAAAGTACTTCTTTGGCTTAATCTTGATGCCTGTCAGTATGTCTCTAATCCACATGTCTCACTTTGCCTTTGGTAAACCGAGGAAAAGTAAACTCACATCCATCTCATCTTACTCTTCCAGCCCCATAAAATATCTGCCTATGCCTTCCTCTAATCTCAGCTCCTTCCTGACACTTAGTCCACTTCCCTGCCCTTGGAGGGAGCCGTCCTCAACTGGGCTGTAAAAAGACAATAAAATTCTTGTGGAGGGTAATTGGGCAAAATGTTTCGGAAACGTTTCAACTCAGTGAACCCATTTCTAGAATTTGTGCTAGAGAAAGCATGAGGTAAATACACAAAGATGTGTGCAATAATATCTGTGAACAAAATTGGAATGATATGAGATTGTTTAAAATTATAGTATGTCCACATTATAGGATACTGTGTAGATATTAAAATTATGCTATGGGATTCTCCTGACAGGGCACAATGTTAAACTACAGTTCAATAAAGTAGAAACTATTCAAAAGAAGTTTAGACCTGGTGTGGTGGCACATGCCTTTAATCCCAGCACTCAGGAGGCAGAGGCAGGTGGTTCTCTGTGAAAGCAAGGTCAGCCTAGTCTATACAGCAAGTTCCAGGCCAGCCGTGGCTACAGGGAAACCCTGTCTCAAAAACGAAATCTCATTTCTAATTTTTTACAAATTATACATAATTATACATATACAAATTATACATAACAGATCAAGAAATATATCTCTAGATAAGGTTTATTTGAAACCAACTGGTCATTACCCAAGATCTATCCACAGGACACACAGTAATTAAATAATGCCAGAATGGTGGAACTAACCTTCTTGGATGTTTAACAGACATACCTTGAGATCTATACTAATTGGGTCAGAGGGACACAAAGGATGCTTTTTGCTCCTTGCCCTCCTAGGTCGATTAGTTCCCAGCGACTATGAGCATCTCGCAAAATGTCCTGTAAAGGTGCTGGGTCATCTGACCTCTTGATCAAGGAGGCCAAGGAGACCCCACCAGATATACTTGAACTAGTGTCCAGTCTATAAAGAGGAGGGTCAACATGGAGGAATCATTTCCTCCATGCTTCCAAGAGAAGCCAACAATGGTCGAGCAGGACCTTTGACTTATCTTCACGTAGATGGAACTGTTAAAAGAAAGGAGCCAGGGGCTCCTCCCAAGCCCATGGGACCCCTGAGGAACAGATCCTCAAACGACCTCAAGAGTAAAAACAAATCAGTTTATCTGGTCCAATTGTATGTCCTTAAACACCCAAAAGGGAAGTATAACCAAAGATTAAAGGGGCCAATATAATTTCATAAGAGCACACATATATATA